CGCAACGCAAGCCATCATTTGTCACCTTCATTGTCGGTTGTTTTTTTCACTAAATAGAAATCATCGGCATAGTTTGGCTGGTCGCGTAACAAAATCTTGATCACTTCTTGACTTGTGGAAAAAGGTGAAACGACCACGGTTTTGTACGTCATCTGCAACAGCATCGGTGACATGTAAATCAGCGCAACCTTCAGCACAAAATGTAGTATACCCCTGCAACGATCTCCTCCATGTAGACTCGAATTTTCAAGCCTTTAGAGATATTCAGGTAGAACGAACAATTGTTTGAGGGCCGATTTAATATGTCATAAATCAGCTCGTCGTCCTGTAGAACATTTACGTAAAAGAAATCCTTGCTGCCTGGAAACATGATTATAGAATGCGCCTTCGGCTGACTACCGCATACCATCCTGCTGCAACATGACCAAATCACATAAGTTGCCATCTTTTGTCAGGCATTTCTTCTGCACGCGTTGCTTCACCTGACGGACGGTGGTCGACGGATTGACGGCTACCGTCACGGAGAAGCGGGCGTTGTGTCTTTCTTGGATGTGTACGGTCAGGTACTTCTGAGTAAAGTAAGAGACACACTCAACGACCTGCACGTCACTGTGAACGACTTACCTCATGGAAAGTGGAACACAAGGAGTTAGAAGTCATCGTCCAGCATTTGAACAAACAAGTGAGTGATTTTCGCACGAACTAAAGAACGACTGTGGCAAAACTGATGTTAAGAGGTGATCACGCAACCAACTGTCAACGGAGATCGCATTAACGACAATTGTCAATGCAAGACAATGCTCACCACTGACACAAGGCAATAACATGAACTGACCTCTGCGACCCGTTGATTCGCAAGCTTTCGTCAGATTCACGTAAGCCTCAAGCCAGGATCGTTCCTAGCGATGACATTAGCTGATCAGTGTCACATGTAGAAAACAACGATATTCGCCCTTGTTCAACGGTGACTAAGGCTGGTCGAGTAAAATTTTATTATTATCAAGCAATCGGAATAATAGTGAAATTATAAGCTGTGACTCGCCAAGGCAGTTCACGACGCTTCTTTTCGTTATGAACAAATGGTAATGATTCAGCTGTTTATGAACGTTAAAAAATTGGTCTTTACATAATTAAAATTGTCATCGTGAACAGTCATTGGAAGTCAAGTTAATATTAAGTTTGTAAGTTTATCTAATAGTTTTAGAAGAATTGAGAAACAGCTTCAGTTGCAGAATTTCTCTGCCGAGTTCACAGCACTGCGTAAAAATGCATGATAGCAAAGGTGTGCAAATGTCTATAATGACAAATCTTCATCTCCATCTTCCATCGCAGTTTCTCCTTCTCCTCACAAATACATTCATTTTCAATATTGGTGGTTTGTTTTGGGTAGTTGAGTAAAAATACGTTATGACAAATGTACACTGTCTAACTCATTACATGATGATCGCTAGAGGTACCGCAGTACAAAACGTTGACTTAGATTCCAGGACGTTCAGAACGTTATTTTCTTCTAGAAAAAGGAAAGATGCATCATTATGTTCTCTTTGAAAAAAAATATGAAGTACAATTCCATTCCTCCTGTTTAAGTTCGTAGTTAGGGCATACGTCTAAACAGACTTGCATTAAAAGCAATAGATGTTCTCCTAGCCGCTTAATAACCGCTGCCCGCCATTTTGGGGGCTTATGATCAACCTGCATTTCTACTGTAATGGCTGGGGAAAATGCATTCCACTGTATTTCACATAATGTTTAAAATTCGACTTCATGCATACAATATGGAGACAGTGAATGGAAACATTGAGTAAGATGCCAAGGCGAAGCATTGTGGAACGTCTTCCACTGTATGAAAGCCACTGAAAATTGTCATGAATCACGAAACGTGTGGCTAGCGAGATGATAACTACCAATAGTGATTGACGCTTTCAAACCCTGCAAGAACATTCGCATATGGAAATAATACAAAAACTAACGGAAAGATTTGGGCCACCGGCTACCTGCCGCATTTACTGCCAAAGGAAGTTTGATGGCTACACGAATTTGAATAAAGAAAAAATGAGCATCTAACGGAGATTATAAAATAGCACACGTTGCACATGGTGCAATATACCCTTGGGACAGAAGAAAAATTTCGTTTGGGGGTTTGAAACGCCCAAAGGCCTATTGCTCCATGAAATACCATTTTTGGCCGCACGATGGCAGGCGAACAACGATCCAAGCGACGGAAATAATATAATTGCACCGCAGTTGACAGCAGCGCAGTTCGTTTAGGAATATTGCTCCGAGGAAGAGCATGGACATCACTGCACTACCTCCGTTTATGAATTGCAAATATAAAATTTTGTTACATGAAACTCAAGTAGCCGACCCTTCATCTAAGAGGTTAATATTCTTCGACGAAACAAGCTCAACTCATTAGGAATTTAGTACAGCTGCTCTTGTTGAGCTGACAGTGATGACGGCTGGTTTTGTTGGTCAGCCGATCCTGGATTCATGACTTAGGGATTCACATAAATGAAGTAAGACGAACTGCATTTGAAAAATCATTATTTCTAGAACCAGCATGCTTAATTACCTTGAGTGTCACATTGTTACGACTGCATTGACAAATTATACAGCGCAGGCTTATTCTGAAGTCAATTTAATTAAGAACGCTAATCGTGATTGACATTTGTACGCCACTTCATCACGACGTTCTGATCGCCCTATCAGATGAGGCGCTTTATCCGAGCTGTGATTGTGACAAAGGAAGGAGTGTGTTCCATATCCTTGTG